TCTCAGTGAGTCTGTCCTGTGTCAGGGAGTCATATCCTCAGCTGCAGAGGGAATATCTGAGGGAGTATCTGAGTTTGCAGATCCAGGGATGTTTGTGGGTTGGAGGAGGGGCCTGTGTGTGTCACTGTGTCCCATCCCGCAGGGCATGAATTGTTAACAGTGTCAGGGTGTTCCTAACACTTTCCGTGTTCCTGTTAAGGTTGGAGGTGCCCCGTGTTCCCGTACCTGACTGTGGCAGGCAGGGTGTCACACACTCTGCAGACGTGAGTCCCGGTGTTTGTGTGTTAAATTGTGGGCGCAAATATGGGCCACACCACCGTGGCAGGGTGTTGAGCGCTCTGTGTTGAGGCAGGTCAGGGCGTGGTTGTGGGTCTCGTGACTGATTCCTGCCCACCTCTCCTCGAGTCCCCTCTCAGGCCAGCCCACACCCCTGGACTCCCGGGCCAGCCTGGGAAAGCCCTGGGCAGTAGGCGGCCCCTTCCTCAGCATGTTCCCGACCTCTGGTCTCAGGTCCCCATTTACAGGACGGTCCCCGGGCCCCACGGCAGGCTGCTTCCTTCCTGGCACCAGGCTGGGCGTGGGTCCTCTGAGTGTCCTGGGTCCCTGGGTGGCCTCAGGTGAGAAGGGGACGCGGCGTGCGACTGGGAAGAGGGCGCGCTCGCCGCCTGGCGGCAGCTGCGGAGAAACCACTGCCCACGCCCAGGAACTCGGAGGGACCGCCGGCGAGCCTCCCGAGTGGGAGCCGGTCCCTCGGCAAGGCGTCACCAAGGGCCAGTTCCGGGCCAGGCATTGTCCTAGGCCCCCCAGATTTAGCGGGAGCCAGGACAACTTGCCTGTGNTGTGTGTGTGTGTGTCTCTGAGTTTGCGTCTGTGTGCCTGTCTGTGTCTGTGCGTCGTTTCCTGTGCCTGGCAGAGTGGGAAGGAGGACGCCCGTGCGCCATGTCTGAGCAGGAACCTGGGTGTGTCAGCGGCAGTCCTGCATGGATAGGTGTGTGTCACGAGGTTTCTGTGTAGCAGGTCACCACATGTCTCAGCGAGTCTGTCCTGTGTCAGGGAGTCATATCCTCAGCTGCAGAGGGAATATCTGAGGGAGTATCTGAGTTTGCAGATCCAGGGATGTTTGTGGGTTGGAGGAGGGGCCTGTGTGTGTCACTGTGTCCCATCCCGCAGGGCATGAATTGTTAACAGTGTCAGGGTGTTCCTAACACTTTCCGTGTTCCTGTTAAGGTTGGAGGTGCCCCGTGTTCCCGTACCTGACTGTGGCAGGCAGGGTGTCACACACTCTGCAGACGTGAGTCCCGGTGTTTGTGTGTTAAATTGTGGGCGCAAATATGGGCCACACCACCGTGGCAGGGTGTTGAGCGCTCTGTGTTGAGGCAGGTCAGGGCGTGGTTGTGGGTCTCGTGACTGATTCCTGCCCACCTCTCCTCGAGTCCCCTCTCAGGCCAGCCCACACCCCTGGACTCCCGGGCCAGCCTGGGAAAGCCCTGGGCAGTAGGCGGCCCCTTCCTCAGCATGTTCCCGACCTCTGGTCTCAGGTCCCCATTTACAGGACGGTCCCCGGGCCCCACGGCAGGCTGCTTCCTTCCTGGCACCAGGCTGGGCGTGGGTCCTCTGAGTGTCCTGGGTCCCTGGGTGGCCTCAGGTGAGAAGGGGACGCGGCGTGCGACTGGGAAGAGGGCGCGCTCGCCGCCTGGCGGCAGCTGCGGAGAAGCCACTGCCCACGCCCAGGAACTCGGAGGGACCGCCGGCGAGCCTCCCGAGTGGGAGCCGGTCCCTCGGCAAGGCGTCACCAAGGGCCAGTTCCGGGCCAGGCATTGTCCTAGGCCCCCCAGATTTAGCGGGAGCCAGGACAACTTGCCTGTGGCCTTCTAGTGGGGCAGATGGACAACAAACAAACACACATGGACCCATGGTGACTCGAGAGGTGACAAGGACAGCACTGCCGAGTGAGACGACTTGGAGCTCCTCTGGATCCCCGCGTCAGGGCCCGGGCAAGGCGGGCGCCTCTCGGAGCCCCGACTCCCTCTTCCAGAGGCCACAGGTGGGCGGCTGGGGTGGGGGCTGTGCAGAGCCCGAGCACAGTGGCCCTGGCACTGCCCACATCGCATCCGTTTCCCTCTGGCTGGGGTGGGGTGCTTGGTGCTTGGTCCAGACACTTGAGATTGTTGCTGAGCTGACGAGCACAGTCCTGTTCTGGAGGACTGCAGGATGAGGTGTCCCAGCCCTGTGCCCTGGAACAAGCCACTTTCCCTGAGCAAGCGTTTCCCCGCCTGTAAAATGGAGATAAGGAGACCAACCTTAGACCAGCCTGTGATCACCTTCCTCGCTTGTATCATGACCTTGTTGACGCTGACTTACCCGGCCTGGGTGCCTGACTAATCCGACTCTCTTGCGAAGATAAGACTCAGGCACCAGGCAGGGCTGGCAGTGCTTGGCTGAGCTGCTGGTGGGGGGGTGGTGCTGAATTCCCAGTGCCAGGAATTAGGACTCCTGGGGGGAAGGGGTGAGAGCGGCTTGCAGAGGGCCCCAGGCAGGGGCCCAGAAGCCTCAGCCAGTCCTCGTTTCTGTGGGACCTGCTCCATATCCAGCCCTGGGGTTCTGAGTACCCCCTGCAGCCAGTCCAGGTCCTTCCTCTTGGACGGAACTTGCAACGTCCTGCGTTTGGTTCCTAGAACCCAGCCTTCCCTTAGCTTCCCACTTCACCGCCCTCGCTCTTAGTTACCAAACTTCAGCCAGTGAACAGTATTTATTGAGCGACTGTGGAGTGCCCAGCGCTGTGCAAGGGACTGGGAGTGGGATGGGGTGAGGGGACATACAAAAGCCCGAAGGGGAGGCTCCCTAACCAGCGAGAGGCTGGGGGTGGGG